AAGAGAAAATCCACCGTCAATTTAACCCTTTACCTGCAGTAATCTTTGAAGATTAAAATTGCGCCTTTACTAAAAATTAGCCAGCCCAGGGTTATGGGCTCCTGGCCAGCCTCAATTCAATGCGAAAGAAAGAAGATAAAGTGGGCAATAAAGCAGTTTATAAAGAAAGAAGGCAAAGGAAAAATACATCGAGCAAGACTTAGCCTACAGCAAGCTCTGCTATTTGGGAGAGGGAAGCAAGCCTCGCGAGAACGCGCGAGCGAGGGTCCGAGAAGAGGAGAGCTTGCAACGTTCTCTCGGGTGGGAAAATAATGTAATTAGCGTAAAGTAATGTAGTTAGTTATTTTCCAATTTTCAATAAAATTTTTTGTTGTTGTTGTCTCATAAATTTTCATTTCCACCCCGGAAACCCCGGGAATACGCAAAGTGTGCAAACGGTCACCGCGAAAGTCCCGCCCACGGCGCTCCGATTAGACACGTGACAATCGCTTGTCAAGTTTAGACGCGCTGGAGACACGCTGGAGTCCGTTTTCAATGCCTTAGTTCAACCGTACTTTAATTACTGCAGCGAGGTCTGGGGGCATTGTAACAAAAGTCTTTCGAATAAGCTCCAAAAGTTGCAAAACCGGGCTGCCCGTATTCTAACCTTCTCCAGTTATGACACAAGCGCTGATCCTCTTCCTGAGTAACTCAACTGGAAACCGTTGGATACTCAGCGACAAATACAAGTGGCCACCATGGTCTATAAATCTATACATGGTCTTGCGCCCGACTATCTTGGTTCTCTTTTCACTAAATATAATCCACCTTATAATTTAAGGAACTCTGAAAACAAACTAGCTGTTCCATTGCCCCGCACCAATTTCTTGAAAAATAGCTTTAGCGATAATGGTGCGGTTATCTGGAACAGCTTGTCCCCTGAATTGCGGCAAGCAAAATCACTTAAATCTTTTCGAAATGGTTGTCGCGATTTCTTTGACTGAATCGATAAAACGCACACGGCATCTATGTAAAGCAGAATTTCTTTATTTTCTGTATTTTTACTATTTAAATTTTTAGATCATGTTTATATAGATTAAAGTAGATTGTAATTTGTCTTATTATTATTATTTTATCTGATAGATTTACCATGTTTAAATAAAAATAAAGTTCAAGTTCAAGACAGCCGAGGGCGCGTGGAATTATTTATTTAAAAATCGCTTTCGAAGCAGCATCAAAACGATGTTTTTAATCACTGAAGATATGCTTTTTTTTCCACGCGGAGATCGAACTTCAACGTGTCCGCTCGGATGAGAACTCAATACTTTGATTCTCGTTTCGTTTACTTTTGAAGAGTCTTCCATACTGCAGTGTAGAAGACTACTCCCCGTCGCAATCACCGACAAAAAACATTACATATTTGTCCGTTCCGGAACTGGAGAATAGCGTTTTCCTGCACTTGGTTCTCCTAAGTTGTACTCCAGTTGCTACCAACTCTTTCTCTTGTCGTTCTTTACAGTCAAGCTACACACTGGCAGCTACAATGTCAAGTATATGTTTCTGACTTTAACTACCCAGTGGAATTCAATCGGGCGAAGAAACCGACGTTGGAAGGCGGCGCTTGAACAAGGGGCTTGAATCTCTCTTCACTTTCACTCTTCTCGTTTTCAGAACTAAACAACGCGCTTGACACAAACGAATACGGCTGATAAAGGGTTTTCATTTTCCTTCCACAAGAACTATAAACTCAGTCCGACTTATCCTCGGCTCGCAATATTCTCTTTGCGAGATACTAAATCAAACGAGCCCCCTCGTCTGCTTTGAGGGCTGAAACAAGTTCTCGGTACCAATCTGATCCCCCTGAGAACCAAACTTGTCACGATGACGGAGGAGGTGCGAGCTTGGCCTGTTACCAATCAACTTTGTTTTCCGGAACGTCATTTTTCAGCCAGTTGTATTTTCCTTCATCTTGGCGGAGTGCAAATGAAATTTTATGAGAGATCGTTGCAAGCTCTCCTTTCCTCTGCCCCTCGCGGCTTCGCCGCTCGCTCGCGCGTTCTCGCGAGACTCGCTTCGCTCGCCCAAATAGAAGAGCTTGCTCGCAGGCTAAGCGAGACTGAGAAAGATCGAAATAGATCCTAAAAAAAGTTTCAATTTTGGTTTGTGCGCTTCTGCGAAAAAAGAATGTTTATAGTAATTTTTCTCTTTAATTACATTCCTTTAGTCAGAAATATGTCCTCTAAGTTGCAAACTTCATTGTTACCCATTCTTATGATAGTCAAAAATCATTTCAAGAAGGGGAATGGTGAAAATATCTTTTTTCTCGTTTCTCGCTGGCCGTCACCAAAGTGTTAACTGATACATATGGGCTTAATTGAAACGTTTTCAAGACTTTAGATGCGGCCACATCACATCTCTCCTTCATTTCAGGAACTAAAAGTTGTTCGTTTTCGGTTTGTCGGTTCAGTGTCAGTTGAACTCTCGCTTAATGAAGTCAAAATTTGTCAGTGAATTTGTCGCTACTGACAAACCGACAAAATTTGTCGGTTGTCGGTTTGTCGGTTCATGTCAGTTGAACTCTTGCTTAATTAAGTCAAAATTTGTCAGTGAATTCGTCGGTACTGACAAACCGACAGAAATTTTGCATTCGTTTGCCGAAATGAGTATCTGTAAAGGTTGATAACAGCACAGGCAGCCCACACAATCTGTTTGTGTAACCGATTGTTATTTTATAGTAAATGTACTGGATTTACCGTTTGCTTCACCTACAGCGATATATCACTAACTATGTATATAAATCAATGATAAATATACGTTGAATTACTTTACCTGTGGTATATAGTCGTCGTTTTACCTAGCCTGCGCGCAGACGAAATTAAACTCTGGTTAACTCCGTCTGCGAAACAGCGCCGAAATCCTTGTTCTGGACTTCCAGCTGTGTACCCAGATTTGAGTACGCGCCACGATTGGCCAGTTAAAAAAGGCCTTTGTTTTGTTTGTCGTGATCGCCAATCAGGTTGAAGGGGAATTCGAAACGCACTTCCGGTAATTCGTTGAGTCCGTTGGGGGTCCAGAACAAGGATCTCTACGCTGCTTCGCAGACGGTACTAATCAGAGTTTAGTTATCGTCTGCACGCAGGTTTTTTGAGCGATTTTGAAGGAGTTTGATTTCGTCTATTAAAAGGAACAGTCAACGGCGAATTCAAACTCCTCCAAAATCGCTCAAAAAACCGCTTTTGAAGTAAAAGGACGACTATATACCACAGTTAAGGTAATTCAACGTTTATTTATCATTGATTTATATACATAGTTAGCGACATATCGCTATAGGTGAGGCAAACGGTAAAGCCAGAACATTTACTATAAAATAACAATCGGCTACACAAACAGATTGTGCGGGCTCCCTGTGATAACAGGCTAAAGGTGACGTCATTTGGTGATCCGCAACACCAAGAAACCCGTAGTTACTAAAGTAAAAACTTGCAAGAGGTGACAGGCCGCACATCTTCACCGGCGTGAAACCTTTGAAACCTTTTACATATTGCTCCATTGAGGAGACCTCCTCTTTCAGGGGATCTTAGAGTTTAAAATTTGAACGATGATATCGCTTCTATTAGCGGACAAAGATACGGCTCGGTACAGTTTATGTTCAGCAAGGGAAAATTGTGTAAGTGGAGCAGAACCTTTTAAATGTTCAACAGACAATTTATTCAGTTCGCGCGTATTCCTGTTAAATTTGTAGCTCGTTTATGAGCAATGAAGAAATGCATGCATAAAATCAAGAACATGCCTTTACAACCCTCTTTTTTCCTGTCCTTGACAGATGAGTCAATCTGCTTTCTTTCCCAGTAAAATCCTCTGTGTAGTTATATTCTGATAGGAAACCGAGTGCGTGTCAAAAGCTTCAGTTGGGAATGGCCCCAGGGTTGGCAAATGCCCGGCCCCCGGGCTGCACAAAATTTGAAAATGCCCCACCCCGGGGACTGACAAGGGGGGCAAATGCCACGCAGTAACTGGGGGGGGGGGGGCAGCTTTAATAAATTGACTGATGCATAAATGGTAGACGAATAACCATTCGGAACGTCCCAACCGGGAAATCGGGACTACCTTTTCACTGCTTGTCCCGGGAATTTTGCAGTGGGACCAACCAAAAAAACGTTGACCATTTACATCCCAAAAGAAATTTCTGGGAATTTTTGGTAAATGGTAAACAACTAAAACTCTGGGCGCCTTCCATTTAGTCAAAATTTCCTGAATTTCCGGTTCGGCGGTAAATGGAACACGTTTTGTCGGTTCGTCCCACTGGAAAATTCCCAGAAAAAGTGGAAAATCTAAAGAGGTGGGCCCGTTTTCCCGGTTGGAATTTCCGAACGGAATTTCGTGTTTCATTTACACGTTTCTCGTCATTTGTACCAGTTCCAGGTCCACGGTTGGGCACCGCGACGTTACGGGGCTTACGACCAAATGGAACAACCCGGGAACAACTTTTTACCAATCGGAAATTCCACGTTGCTCCCACCGAAATTTCCGTTTTTTTTTCTCAAATGGAAAGCGCCCTTCGATTTCGGAGCGCGGGCTCATTTCCCGAACAGCGGCTAATAATCGAGCCTGGGGCCTGCCCTTTCCTTAAACATTTTCTGTAATTAGCTGCCTTGAGTTTTCGAGGACATTTTCCTTGAAGTTTTTAAAGTGATTGAAATCATTTTAATTTTCTACTCTAATTTTTATTATATCTTCAAAGACATTCAAATCTCATTTGTTCAAGATTTGTTCACTATCTTTTTGGGTCGACAATATTCCGTATGGTCCCTTGAGAGTGGCATCTTTTTCTTGTGAAAACGAGGTTGTTAGTGCTAAGTTTCCATAGTAACTCTGCTGCCGCGCATGGACAAACACTTCTCGCGCCTAGCGACAGCACTGTTCACTTGAACTTCAACATACATTCGGTTGGTAGTCGTGAAAGGCAGAGGGAGCGTCAACCTCTCCGAGAAATATTTGAAAAAAAGAATAGAGTTTTAACAAAGAAAATATGTTTAAAAACACATTTCAGTCGGGATTTCTCTCCATTCTTTACAGTATTGGTAGCAAGCCGTTACAGATATGGGACAAGAAAGTAAGGAGCTGTTCCATATCCATGCTACAACCTCATTCTTCGTTTTTACTATATATGCTACATTGAACACTTCTCTTTTTTCATTTTTAGGTGAGGAATGGGCATATCAAGAGAATAACTGACAACGACATTCAGTCTCTAGTTTTGGAGGTTGTTGGAACTAACGTCAGGTATAAGCAGAGACTGTTGATTTTAAAAGAGAATTCACCTCTCCCACATATCGCATAAGCTAGCCTATTTGAATCAAGAAAGTCACCGTAAATGCATATCAGAAGACCTTTTTATCCTTTTGTAGTTCACTTTACTTCATCAAAATGAAGCGACTTCCTGCTCTGAGCCGTATGTATTTTTTATTTCAGTACGACTTACATTACCTGTCCCGCTGACCCCAAGAAGACGCTTGGAATCAAGCTACCTTTCCTGGTGATGATCATAAAAAATTTGAAAAAATACTTTACTTTCGAAGTCCAGGTAATCAGCAATGATCTTCCTTACGATATATCAAATTTTCGAAGTTCCAGATCTTTTTGTAGTTACTGAAACTCAACCTTACAATCTACAACTCATTTGTTGACACTAAGGTCCTAGACGACAAGAACGTCAAGAGGCGATTTCGCGCGTCAAACTATCAGTCCACTACACGAGTAAAACCCTTCATTTGTACTATGCCGATGAGACTGGATGACGGATGGAATCAAATACAGGTGAATTTTGAAATATTTTGTTGGTGCATGTAGTCGCTAACTGCATGTAGCGTGACAACGTGTAGAACAATCTGGTATTTGATTCACGTACTGCCAGGAGCCTACATGTAAATCTTCGATTCTTATATTATGATGGCTTTCGATGAATGAATTTCTTTGATTTAAAATGTAGAGGAACACATCCTACGTGTTGCAGTTTTCAGTGATATATTTTACCGATGTTGTTGCGCTAGTATAAATGTAAATACAGTACATGTAATACTTTGGCATTTGATATAATGTAAACTGGTATCTTTCATTCTTTTTTCCAGTTTAACCTTTCGGATTTTACAAGACGGGCATATGGCACAAACTACATTGAAACACTTCGTGTACAGGTATTTTGTAACCATTGCTAATTTTTAAAGAGCCTCTGATTGGCCAAGATTCTAAACCATTTTATACATCTCATCTCCTGTGATGAAAGATATTGTTCATCGTGAAAAATCAGGAAACTGTTCTCTCAGTGGTTTATTGTGGTAGGGATCAGCTGCTATGAAGTCTGATTGTAGGCATCCCCTCTTCAGGAATCTCAATTCCTCTGTCCTTATTGATGTTATCAGGGTGAAGTCTTATGTGAATACTCTCCTTAACTCTATGAGAGTACCAGCGGGGCTGTCATTAAGAGCTGGGGGCCGGGGATTTCCCCCGGATACTATGAATGTGGTCCCCTGCTACTTTCATTGGAAAACAGAAGAAAAATAGAACCAAAAGAAATCTCAAGCTGTTTGATTCCCCACCTACTTGTTGTATTTACCCGGCAACTAGAAATCTGAGTGACAATCCTGACCAGTGAGGTTCTCGGTCAATAAACTTAATGTTGTCCCAGATCAGGTAATGCCCAGGCTTATTGGCTCGTTCAGAACGGCTGAAGTTTGAGTTTGTGAAAGCTGTATATCCCTATTGTGCGCCTTAATTCTTTCATGTGTGCACGTTCTCATTTTGCCTTTACTTCATTTACATACTCCACTCCATCTTGTTTCCAAGGATCAACAGCATCCTTGATGAATCAACTCGTGCTAAGTGTGATGTTAGTGTTTTGTCTGACTTGAAATCAGATCATATGCCATGCTGATGTAGGCAACAACGAAGTGGTTCAGATAACCCTTTGATGTATCAGGGCTGTCAGAAAGTTTTTGAGTAGCAGGCTGATAATGAATAGTAGATGGCTTTGGAATGGTCGCACCAAAGGCAGTTCCTTAGGGCTTAGAATAGGCGTGTAGCGACATTTTGAAATTCGAGTCTCAGAAATCATGTTTCCAGGGGTTTTCAAGAGGTATTTTCCACCAGGAAGCCATTGTTTAGTTGGAATACACGCAAGACTGGGAACAATGCTGTCAAAATGTCCCAGGCATTCCATAACATCGCACGGTTCGAACGTTTCACAGATCTAAACCTGTTTAAATATGCATTCAATATCATTAAAACAGTTCATCTGACAGGGCGCGATAAAAAATCAGAAACTGTGCGATATTTTCATGGTAGATTGTGCAATAAGATAGGACTATTATGCGACAAATTATACGATTTGTTCAGGGCTAATTAACATTGTTTTACCAGGTTTCAAAGGAGATAAATCACTTTAATGTTGTTTAACAGGCAATTTGAATGTAAAAGAATAATAAAACATCTATTTTAAAACAAGATAGTTAAATTTGTCCAATTATCTTGACATGGAAAAGAAAACAAATAGAAAGAAAGAAAAAGGACACTTGTTTAATATTACATGACGTGGTTACACCACTGACCAAACTGCTTGTCTCTGAAATGAACATGGCTGCCCAGATACTGCGATCGAAGGTTTCAGATGTCTTGCAAGGCTTTCTTTAGTGGCAAATCACCTTAAATAACGTTAAGATTGGGAAAATGTGTGATTTAAGTTAGAATTTATTGTTTACTTTACTTGAATTTAGCGTTTTTTTATGAACTATGCAATTTTTCTCAAATTGTGCTATTGGATGCTATTTGAGGTCAATTGTGCGAAATCGCACCATTGTGTAATATCAGATGGCCTGTTAAAAAAAAGGATGCTTTACAATTTTATTTGATAGTGCTTATTTTTTGTTAGCATTTATGGTAGAATGAGATGAAAGTAGCCAGCTAAGGATGGCTAACTAGCCAGTGGTTTTGGCTGGCTATCAGCCCTTATTGACAGCCTTGATGTATGGCAGAACCGTGGTAGATTTAATTTTTGGTTGTGGGTTTTTATCAGATGCCTCCCTGCTCTTGGATTTCGTGATGTTAGCTACAAACAAATAGGGGTATCCATTAGAGACAAGGACGGAGGATAAATGCTTCCTTTCCTTGGAGATAACTCAGTGCTGGCTTACTGATGGTATTTTTTGATCAATACTATTGGCCATTTCGAAGTTGCATAGGGAACTGGGGCAAGTTTCAAATTTAAATTGATTGATAAACTGACACCACCATATAAAAGGTCATGGTGAGATTGGTTGTTTGGCCAAGTTTGGTGCTCTAAAGTTAAAGAGGGATCAAGTTATGACTCTTGGAACATATTTAAAGATCCATGCGAAAGTCTGTAATTTTATGACAGTGTCCCGCAAAACCATATAAACTCTTATTTTTTCATGATTTCTGTGATATTCCTGAAAATGTGCAAACATAGTGATTTTCTAATTAGTTCCTTCCAAGTAGTAGATGCATGACATATTTTACAGTTAAACAGAAAAACTGAAAAGTATTTTAAAGAGTTTATTCAACTTGAAAAATGACTGGGTTCTGCAATCACCTTCAGAGATGTGGAAACCTTGAAGTAAGGCCAAATTAAAGCCATAAAAACTTTCACACGTTCTTTTTGTTGGGAGGATCAAAAATTCATTACTGTAACAGTTATGGACTGTATGGTCATTGAACACAACAAGACTGTTCAATATTCTCATTCATTAATTTTTCTCAATTTTATACCAATAATATGTGTGATGTGACCATGCACCTTAAAATAAACACTGAAGTTAGTTGCTGTAACATTTTCTTCAGATTCATGCAAACTGCAGGATCAGACGGGTGTATTTCTCTGACCGACTTTACTCAGAAGATGAACTTCCAGCAGAATTTAAGCTATACCTACCTGTACAAAATAAAGCTAAGGTAAGATTGATTTTATAGCCAAATTTGTTGTATCGAGCTGCCCGTTTGCAAACTTCAAATGGATTTTTCTGTTCCGTCAATCATTGAGTGGGGTGGAGTGAATGCAAATCACAATGCAACACTTGCCCAGCGTGTCCTGCAAAAACAAAACTGAGAGTGACTCTAGACTACTCAAGAATAGCGAAGGAAATCACAATGATAAGTGGAATTTTTGTCAAGGGCAGGAGGTAAACATTGCTTTATTCTTGCAAGAGACAAGAATAAGAAAGATCAGAAAAATCTTCGAAGAGAACTAGTCGATTATTGCCCAAAACAGGGTGATCACAAACAACCAACCTTGAAACACCAAAACAAACAAATTGAGTTGAAATGCACCAATCAGAAGTAAAAATGTGTTTCCAAAGAGGTCTGCTAAGGTGATTGACGGAAAACAGGAGAACCCAAAATTCCTTCGAAGTTTGCAAAACGCGCAACGCAATACAACGAATTTGGCTATAAGTATAAACAGTGTGAACGTAATTGCACCAATGGAAATGAGAGTTGTAAAGTTAGAAAAATTACATGAATTCAAAACAGCAGTATTTTAAAATTTCACCCCATGACAATATGATCAATATCATTATTACATTTGCGTGCTAAATCTTGGCAAGAAGATTCCTGTCAATTTGCCTTTGGCCACTAAGCTAGCCAATCATTGTGGTCCAGAGAAAAGTGATGCCCTAGCATGACTCAGGTATTATTATTTTGGAATTCATGTGTAAATGTGACTTGGATGAATAATAGTTTTGCAAACATGTGACTCGAATTATTTACTGTTTTGATATCAGGCCCAGCTATCATTTAGGGCAATCTATTTACCAAAAGTGTTTGAATCTGTTATTTGGGGGCTGCACAAGTAGTTAATGAAGTATCAGTTGTGATTCAGTGTCATTTGCTGAAGAGTAAAAAAATGTTTGTGGTATATTGATTTAACATAATTTTCCAGTGGTATGGTATTCAGAAAGTAGCGAAGTTTTGATCCAAACTTTGCTTGTTAGGAGCTGATAATTACTAAAATGATTTACATCTAATCCTTCCCTCAAATAATGTGGAATTTGTGACCTTACGGGAAATTGATAGAACCACAGGCAATAATTTAAGGAAATGCGAAAAGAACATCTTGAAATCACTCTTTTAAAGTTGAACATTAATTTTATGTATTCCGGACATCCATTGCCTTATCAGGTTTCAAATACTCCATAGAAGTAGTAGCCTGTGTACAGACATCCCCCCCTCCCTCAGGAAAAATCGGGAGAAGAGACATCTGTGAATCGCCGTTGTTAATCGTGTTGCGGTATAGATTTGCATAAATTATTTTGTTCTTTTGGTGACAGTTGAAAAGAAACATGTAGGTCGAAAAATAGCTCTGGCGTCTGTGCACAGGCTAGCTGAACATCTTCACGCAATGTCCACCCAAAAATCCAGATATAAGATCTCTGATTACAGTCGAGCCAGGTCAAGTGTACCTCGTAAGATACCATTAATGTATGTATTATTCAAAAGTTGAACCGTTGGTAGTTGTAGATTTCAGATTCATCTCTGTGTGCATTCTTGCATGCGTAATGAGCCGTGAATTCACACGCGATTCAGTTGCGAAATCTCTACCAGCTCAGTTTCCCTGAATTTGATGTCAATGTCTTCTAAAAGACATTTAATCCATTCAAAGATTTTCAATCTGACCGAATGCAGAGAAGTTCTCTTAAAATATTCACTGCTCATTACGCATACAGGAATACCGATTTAAATTTGACACCAGTTACAGGAACGACTAACAGATTCATTTTTTCAAATAATCAATTTATTAATAGAATCTTTTTGGGGTAAGCTTGACCTACTTTGGCTGTTAACGTTGGATTTTGTCTGCCTTCTCTTGTATTTACAATACCGACCGGTACAGACAGACGCACCCACAACCGGTGCAGCAAACATAGGTGGTCTTAACTTTTTCATGCCTTTTCGAGAGAACCGAAATACAAATACCAGTAAACAAATATGAATGTCCACAAAGGCTGAGCTTTTCCCCGGGGAATCTATTCTGAGGTTCATTCACCAATCACAACACCAGAAATTATTTGCATCATGGCATTGACATTACAACCAATCAGAGGCTGTCCCCAACATTCCGGGGAAACAGGAACACGATTATCGTTGGCGATTCACAGACGTCTCCTCTCCCGATTTTTGCTGAGGGAGGGGGGACGTCTGTGCACAGGCTGTAGAAGTAGTATTCCTTTGAAAATAAAATTTAGATGAGAGAAGAGCAGTGATGGTACTGACTAAGAACACTAGTTTTCAAAAGGTGCACAATTCTGTAACCAATAGGTCATTTGCACAATGGTGTCGTTTTACCACTTCGACCACAATTCTTTTCGTTTTCCCTTTCATATGTAAATATGGTAATCCCAGCAAGGTTTAAATAACAAAAGCCCAAATTTGCCCAATAAAGCAAAGTCCTGAAGGAATCTGGTCCTTAATTGTAGTAAGATGATGTCATCATGCAACAGTTTATTTTAGAGGAGGAAATATGGGGATAAGCCATAATCTGTCAGTGGTAAAAATGTTTCCAAAGTTTTGGTAAAGAACAAAATCCAAATATCCAAGATGCTAACAAAATAAACAAATAACAAAAATGTAGTGGAGTGAGATGTCACTGATGATGGTTCCTTTTTCCCTTGCAGCCATGAAAACAAACATGTGAATTGTCAGAGGGGATTTCTTTCTTAAAGCCAGAAAATTAAACTTATTCTTTATCTTCTTGCTTGTTACAGTCCTTTAAAAAGGATGGTAAATTTCAGTGTTTAGCTTCACAATATTTTTAAAGCCTTTTTGTGCTTATATGTTAGAGATTTTTTGAACCTTATTAAAGGTAAAAACAGGAGATAAATTTTATGCTTTGGATATAACTCACTTTGATTCAAATTGACTACACAATTTATGAAATGTTGGACATTTTTCTATCCAACCCTCATCACTGTAAACATTGTATTATATCATAATTTGTAAAAAGGATAAATAAATAATATACCACAAAGTCTTGGCTAATTTGTTTAAGAAAGGTATTTAAAATTATTTAACCCATTTACTGTACAGTGACTATAGTGGAACTAAGGCTCTGTTTACATGGAGAAAACCTGTCCCTGTTAGGAGGGTCACCCTCCTAGCTGAATCAACTTTAGCAAGTGTTTATATGGGAAAAAGGTGACCCGCTTGCCTGAGCCAACAGTGTTTGTGGATGCTCTGATTGTCTTGCCCTGACAAAGTTGATCCTGCTACAAAGTGTTTATATGGATGTAAAGTTGGCCAAGCTAGAAGGGTGACCCGGCTAGCTGAGTTTTTTCTTTTCTCAACTGAACAGTTTGCCATATATTGTAGGTAAATGTATGAAAGTTGGCTCATGCAGGGTAGCATCTCTGTTGGACAGGTTTTCTCCACATAAAGAGGACCTGTCTTTTCGAATGTTACACCATTAACACCCATGGACATTATATTATCTTACTCAGCTAGAACAGAAGACGAGATGCAGGAAAGAAAGTTAATACAGTGTTTCAAAGTTGCAAGTTAATTTTACTTTCAGAGTTTTCAGGGATGATTTATCCGGAAATTATGCCTAAAATTGTCTCCCTAAGCCACTTGTGACATCTTCACTTCTATAACCATCAAAGATGAATTTGAAGCAGAAGAATTTCTCCTTTTTTTATCTGATTATTACTTTTGATTCACAGCTGCATTGGAAAATAGTAAGAGTAAACTTAATAAATTCTGTGCAAGATGAAGCATCTATCTATAAACCCAAAGGCCACGCTGCTTTTGAATGACACTATTTTTTCTTTGCAAGTTCGTTTAGTTGAAAGTTTCTTTGTATCAAAGTATTTTCGTCAACGGTTCTTGCATGAGACCCCAACCCAGCTCACTGCACATCCGAAAAATGTCACTTTTAGTAAAACAAAGCATGAATTTCCACATGACAAGTGGCCTGTGTGTTTCAACGATAATGCAAAGAACCATCTCTACTATCGTACTCTGGCGTCTCTACTAGCTGGTTATCTTTTAGCCTGAGCCAGGCTCTCAGATAGTATAGTGCGGACGTATTAAAACGAGGAAAGCGACAATAAGACGCGCGTGACTTGGGAAAGGGGGCGGTGGCGTTTTTCGCATTTCTTTTTACTGAACGACTTAACCCTATCTCGGAGCCTGGAACAGGCAAGTTATCTTTACGCTTGAGGGACACCAACATGGCGGATAGCAACCGTTGTCAAGCTATGGGTCACGTGGATGAAAACCGAGAATATAAAGAAGTGCATCAGGGCCAAGCCTATTTTAAATTCAAGCTTTATTATGAATACTAACTTTAGATACGTGGATGGTGTCGCCCAAATATGTACCTCAAAGTTTTAGTATATACTAAAACCGTGGATAGCGGTTTTGGCGCGCTCTGATTTGCTACTCAAGATCGAGATATCCAGGGCTATTCAACTCCGAGCGACGCCAAACTCGCATAACTTACGAGCAAAATGGGTTTCTGGTCAGTAATACCGTGACAGAAAAAGATTTTAAACCAATAAACTACGAAGATATTCCCAACAACAAGAAGAAGGCGATGCAACTCGGTTTGGCAGTTATCAGAGTTACCAGTCAGGTACAGCTTTGCCTGTTTAACCTGAACTTATCGATGAAACCGGCAAAAAGGTTTTTGTTCACAAACGCAAATTATTAGACTTGCGTTACTTCATTTAGCTGACAAAAGCATAAGACTAAGTTAAGTGACTTCAAAAGTTTATTTGACGGCGAGGAAACGTGACGGCAGTTCGGTGATTTGCGCGCCAACGTGGCGTTTAATAACTAGTTTTTGTACACTTGCTAAAAAACAACTGCTTAAAAAGAAAAGAAAAACAAATGACATTTCTTTTTACGACATCATTCGCCTGGTAATGGCTGGTTCAAAAATGTGTGCAAGCTCTTTCAACATCCATCAAGTCATCGAGAATCTAGAAATAAAGAAAAAAATGACGGGTAAAGAAATTGTCAACAGAGTGCTAAAACTTACGAGCGCACACCCTGTATTAAGCGGTCCCCCACCCTGTTGAACAAGCACCCTGTATTTCGTCTATATTGTTAAATAACAGAAATGGTCACAGAACTTGAAAGAAAATTCACGCTTGACAACTAAGCTTCACAAACTATTAACGCACTTCCGTTAGCAAATGATCTTTCAAATTTTTTAAGGACGTGCAAAGATAACGAGATTGATTAATATTTTTAAATGAAGCTATGATCGTCGCAGTGGCAATTGCAGCAATTGCAAATTATCCCGAAATTGGAAAAAGAATTTCGGGACTTCAACGGGATTCAAACCCATGGTCTCTGCGTTCGCGTTGTAGTGCTCTACCAGTTGAGCTATGAAAACCCATACATTGGGAGCAGGCCAGTTTATTGAGTTCATCTTAAGTAAGTGGAATAAAACATATGCAATGATTTGAACTGCGGAAATACAAATTCTTAAATGAAGATATGATCGTTGCTTAAATTGCAATTACCACTGCGACGATCATATCATAAAAATTCGCAATTCACCAGTTCACATCATCTGCATGTGTTTCATTCCATTCACGTTTAAGATGAACTCAACCAATTGGTTTGCTCCCAATGCATGGCTCTTCCTCGCTAAATTAGTACAGCACTGAGGCTCTAACGCAGAGGCCATAGGTTTGAATCCCGTTGAAGTCCCGAAATTTTTTTTCAGGTTAATTTGCAATTATTTAAATTGCAATTACCACTACGACGATCATATCTTCATTTCAAAGTTTGTATTTCCGCAGTTCATAGCATCTGCATAAGAGATAAATCTAATTGCTATCAGCCTACCTGAGAAGGAGTAGTTCCAATTTTCTTGGTGACTTCAAGTCTTTCCATTGTACCCAAATGAGCAAATTTGCCTAAAAGCTCTCCATCTAGGATATTCTTGTGAGCATTGTTCAGGCTGCGTTTCTTTCCGATGACATGTCTGTAGTATAAATAGCATTTTATTAAAGACATGCAAATTCTAACATTTTTCTTTACTTAGGCCCTTCCATAATACAGTCAAACTAAGTTGTAGTGCTGGGCGGGGTCTCATAATGTACTTCAACCCCGCGCGATTAGGCCCTGTTGTAACTCCTCTAAATGAAGAGAAACAAAACAAGAGATCGACCTCTATAGTTTACTTCTTCTATTTTCAACCAGTTGGTATTGCTCTGCCTTACTGCTTTGTAATAGTGTTTGTGTCAGTTGGTGAATGACATGTGTACGCCGGGTTGAGGTTTCTAATTATCCACTCACACCCTTGTTGGGCCTACACACAATTTTACAGGCAAGCCATAATGTTACACGCCTTTTACTTGTCGCTACCCAAAAACAGGCTTTCAAATAGCAGTTATCAGTTTCATTACCGTAAAAATACATTCATTTTCGCCTTTGAATGAAATAAAACCTCAGTAGCACATATTGGCAAACGATTAAATACAAATGCATTTCATACCACTAATGTAAAAGCATCATTGTTTGCATTTCACGTGAGCACTTTTCCTTGAAAATGTCGTCAAAATATCATTCGATTTTAAAAATAAATCACTCATCCTGAAGTTCTTGGAACGATGAGTTTTTGAGAATTTTTTGGTGATTATTAGAATATTTGTAATCAACAAAAGTTTGAAGGGCAAATGTTAAAAGGTATGGAAAAATGAGAAAATATTAGATTTAAGGGTAGCTAAAAATTAAAATTCGAAGTGAATAATTAATAGACAAAAGACGAGACAGTCCGCCACCACAACAAGGTGGCCCTGAGCCGTTTCTAAGATCAAGAAGGATATTACAAAATTTCAATAACGTACTGAGCTTAAACTGAAAAACAATTATCGGGTTACAATAAAATCAAGACAGAAAGAAATTGCGTTAGCAAGTATGGACGACAGAAGTTGATCAGATGACATGCTACTAGATAGCAAATACATGTATTGGTAATCCCGGGTAGTTCCTCATCATCCAAACGTACTGACTTGCTCTGATACTTGCAGTTGGAGGAAACATGTATACAATACGAAGAAAACACTCTAAACATCGGACAGCGAAACATTTTTTCTAAGTAACATCATAGAGATTTCAGTTGTTCTGCTTCTAGCGTTACTCAATAAACGTTTGCGTTTTTTATTATCCTCAGTCTGGAAATTTAGTAAGAACCGCCCTTAATGTTTAGTGTATATTAAATTCACAAAATGCACTTTCATGTAATTGCTTGCCTACACTTGCTATTGAATCTTTATCCTCATGCAGAAATACCAGAAACTCATAAGAGGTTGAAAAACCCCTTACGAGTTCTGGAAATACTTAATAGATCTTGATAGAATGATGGTCAGCGGTCAGCGAGCCAAGATGGCTGCCTAATTTTGTGCTCCACAAATTTATTGCAATAAAGGTTATATTCGCTCGTATTTTTCCATTATGGGACCAAAAAGGAAACCGCCTATGTCTAATGATTCTATCGATCCAACTGATTCGACTTTTGAAGATGACTGGGATAAATTAGAGATCAAACTTAACGAGTGGGTTAAATCATCACTCCCGGGCCTCGTTACGAGCATTATGCAATCTCACTAAAATCGTCGACGACTACGGTATATCTCATCGACTGAGTTTCAAAGATCTCTGGCTGATAGTATCAACTTCGATGCCGCCGGTTCTGAAACTCAACTTGGCTCATCGGGAAAAAAGATAAATGAACTAATAAATTCAAATCAAGCAAAGACAATCAAACTGGATGAAGAGTTAACCAAACTTAAGAATAATCTAACGCTGAAAGACAAAGCCATAGCAGGTCTTGAAGATGACAATTATAGACTATCACAAGAAGTAGACGACTTGGAGCAATATACAAGAAGAAACAATGTTCGCATCTATGGAGTTGCTGAACAGCCAGAGGAGAACAGTGATAATCTTGCATTCGACTTCTTCAAATCTGAACTCAACGTGGATATTGCTTCAAATAACATAAGTAGATCTCATCGTGTAAGCAAGAAATCTGGAGTCGAACCAAGACCTATTATTATGCGGTTTACTAAGCATAATTCTAAAGTTGCGGTCATGTCTCGCCGCCGTGTGCTCAAGGAACGTAAACGTCCATTCAACCTTCCAGAGGATTTAAGAGGGGGGCATTGGGGTATATTAGAAACCGCAAAACCGAAGAAAAAAATCATCCAAAACCGAAAACCGCATACAAAACCGTCAAAAACCGATACAATGGTGACAAGTGGGGCATACAGAGCAAACTAAACTAACACTAATTTCACCAAAGTATTTGTGAATGTCATGGACTTTGTCTGAAGCCTTCGTATCTTTTTGTGTCTGCTTAAATCATAGGCTTTGTTTCTGCCGCTCTCTCGAGCCCAGACTTTGCGGCTCAATTTCCGAAAAGCCGCTAGTTATGGAGCCTAGTTAATTTGCACACAAGTCCTCTTTAGAATGGCAATTTTGCAGTCGCAAAAAGCTATAGCTCTGGAAACTTCAACCGAAAATCTCTAATCGAACATTTCCATTTGATAACTAACACCGGAAAGTTTGGAGACTCGATTGTCTAACATGCGATTGCACTGAGCTGAGTCGACACTGAGGAAGCTAACCGGTACAATTAGTTCCTTTTCAGTTTTACATGGCAGCAGGAACTTGCTCTAAGGTTTAATGTGGTAATAAACAGATACTCAAAAAAGCAGTCGATTACTGAAACTCACTGCCCTTCCAAAAACCAAAAACCACATCGGGTACCAAAACCGAAAAACCGCTAGTATTTTTCACGAAAACCGAAAACCAGATGCTAAAAAACGAAAAATCCGCAAACCGCAATGACCACCAAATCCGAAAAACCGAAGTCTTTTGCAACAAAAACCGAAAAACCAATCCAAAAAATAGCCAAAACCGCAAAACCGAAAATCCCAATGCCCCCCTCATTTAACCATCAATCGCCGCGAAATTCTTAAATACTTAAACAAGGATATTGAAGAAGGCATTGTCAGCAAAGTCTGGACTGTGGATGGAGTAATATCTTTTCGACCTTCTGGTGACAGCTCTGTCATCGAACGCTGTACTTCTTTAGAGGATTGTCAGGAGATCATAGCTAAGTATTGCGAATAGTCTGAACGTATGTTTATTTACTTGTAGTGACTGACAACTCTGTCGTTGAACGCTGTCAATCTAACTTTTTCTCGCAGTAACTGAATTGCACTACACTACTATTAATAATCTTTTTTTTTCTTTTGCACATCTGTATTTACCTTTATGGCACCCAAGAACTGATTTCTTGGGTGAGTCATTGTATATAAGGCAGGTACAAAAGTCCACCGGATCAACTCGGACCGTCAGTCCGGGTCGGATCAACTCGGATCGACTCGGACCAACTCGGATCGAATAAAAAAATAAAAATAAAATAAAATTGGACTCGGATCAACTCGGATCATAAAAAAAACAACTCGGAATATAAAAAGAAAAATAAAATTAGTCGGTATCACTTAACTTTCACCCGCCATTTTGTTTTTTTTCTCACGAACTCGTGGTTGCGTAAATTAATTTTATTTTTATTTTTGTTAATTTTAATAATACACTAGTGAGCAGCACACATACACTTCCAGGGAACATTTTCTTCTTGGAAGGAGGAGAAATCATGCTCGCCCGGGACAACGAAAATTTTCGTACCCTAGGCCAGAATTGAACTCACGACCCTCCGAATACTACATGTTTATCGGACGTTCCAACCACTGAACCGGAGGGTCGCGAGTTCAATTCTTGCCTTGGGCATGGAAATTTCCTTTGTCCTGGGCGAGCTTGGTTTCTCCTCCTTCCAAGTTGAAAATGTTCACTGGAAATGTATGTGTGCTGCTCACTAGTGTATCATTAAAATTAAGTTTCAGAAGTCCTGCAGAAAAAAAAAAACAAACAGGAACAAACAAACAAACAGTCTTCGGTAAATATCTAAATGCGATCAACAGACCAGGCTTTTCATGATTTTCTCATAAATAATTCATAAGTCAATTCTGGGCGACTGAAACTATCATTTCTAATTTTGTTTACTGTCCAACCACAACCACGAGCTAAAAACATGATCCGAGAGGAACTGGCGCTAGTAAAACAAAATGGCGCCTGAAAGCCACGGAGAAAAAAAGGATGATCTGGCCTTTTTTACCCTCCAAATGGGTTAAACTTTCAGTTTTGCTGATTTAATTTAATTTTTTTGATTGCTCCGAGTTGATCCGAGTCCAATTTTATTTTATTTTTATTTTTCTATTCGATCCGAGTTGGTCCGAGTCGATCCGAGTCGATCCGAGTTGATCCGACCCGGACTGGCGGTCCGAGTTGATCCGGTCCGACTTTTGTACCTGCCTATTGTATATATTCCCTTATTGCTTAATGATAATATTATATATAGTTTTTGTACTTACAGGCAAATAATATTTGAATTCGTGATTAGTTAAGTCAGCTTGCTTAACACTTAACACTTAAGGTTAAATTTAAATTAATTTTTTTAAAATTTATTTATTTATTTATTTGTTACTTTTTTTTCTGTTATTGTATGCCCTATTATGCCAAAGAATGTCAAAAATCCGTGTTCTATATGCAAATTTCGAGTTCATAATAACCACAAAGCTATCTTTTGCAATATTTGTCACTTATGGACACATCTGAAATGTACCCCACTTTCTCTTTCAGAATATAACTAGGTATACCTATCGATAGAGTGCCAACGAGCAAATCATGCGTATTTTGCTTAGGACTAGAATTCCTTTTTTTTCCCATTTGACCGTTCCTTGGTCCCTTCCTGTTGCAAGCATTATTTTCTTGAAAAGTTCTCAGATTCAGTCTGGTGGCTTTACAAACCTACTATGTAAAAGTGTGAAGTGCCTCGGAATAAAGTCAGCTTTGCAACGGCTATCTAGCTGACCACTTTGCAGAGGAAGCGATCGGGAATATTATTAAGTCCAGCTACAAATCTACTGTCGGTTCGGTTTCACATTGTCGATAAATATTTGCACAGTTTAATCATTTAAACCTCCTTTCAAATTTCCCGTGGCTTTGTGTTATCGGATTGAAACTTAGAATGATTCGCTGGGCCATCTGAAATGTTTCCAAGGACATGCAATGTACGTCACGTCGGTATTTAATTTTATACTGAACTCGGCCACGTTTCGAAAAAAATGGCGTTGTTTTCTTTTCCTTTGTCGTTCGCTTTAGGCTTGTAATTCGGTTTTGTTGTCATTGCTTTTGTTTGCTGGTTAGAGTTTTTCCCCAACACCAGATTTTCCAACAGAAGCGACTGCATTCTTCGTGTCAAGCTTTCCTTTATATCTCCTCGTGTAATCTGATCCTTTTTAGTGGTGAGAATATTACTTGCTGCACATAGGACCACATAGAACACTTTTGCTGTTTTACAAACTTCTCTTCGTTAAAACTTAACATTATGGCCCCTAAAATTAATAGAATATATCAAGTGCTCATGTCTCTTGACTGCGGTGGCCGGGTTTGACGAAAAAATTTAGGTAAATAAACACAGGAAGTCGCGACGGCGGGAAGTGTGTGAAATTTTGTTTGTTATTCAACTTGAGCCCGTGTGCCAGGTACTGCCTTTTGATTGCTTCACAACTGACCACTTGGTCTCAGGGGAATCTACATTACATTAGGTTACACTTTTTTCAGCTCGATCGAGAATTTTTCTGCCTATTGCGCAGTCTTGCGCGGCTCTATTCTGCTGCCGCCTCGCCATCCGAGCGTCTTCGCTCGGATGGCTCGTTGGCAATGACTTGACGCATTCTAATGATGACTGGTATTGTCCTAGCTGATTGATTTTGATTATTACTGACTTTGTTTAAGTTAAATTGTTGTATAGAGTCTGAAAATAGTAGCTACACTTGTAAAAGTTATATTTAAGTTGACCACAGTTTTCAATCTATTTGATTCAGAGAACTTCTATTGTTTACTTGTTGCCCTAATTATTTCTAGAAGAGCAGGTTTAACCTGAGAATAGATTTAACAAACAACTAAAACGACAAAACATGTATCATGAACACTTAAACTTGTTAGTATTATCTCCGACAAATATGTCCAAACATTAACTGTGTCTGATCACCTTACCTAAAAGCCTTTGGATTGAGTCCTGCTATGTGTGGAATACACTCAACTAGTTTGGTCTGCAGCATGTGAAGTCGCCTGTAAGTTTTTTCTGTCATTGGTAACAGAAGTCCAATGCCTCCATCCAGAGTACCTGAACAATATCACAATTCAGTGCGATAAGTATCACCAGTTAATTATCAGTCAAACAAAGGAGGAAGGAGAAAGTAAATTTTAAAAAAGGAGTTCGTAAACAATAGTAAAAAAAGTTCAGTATTGTAGTTGACGATTTCAAAGCCTCTCATCAATCTTTTTCAAAATTACAAAACGCGAGGGGTGTCAGCAGCTCAAGCTAGATTGGGTGTTACAGTCAAACCAGGTCAAGCGTTCCCGTCGCTAACAAACTAATGAATTCATTAATGGAAAAATGATTTCGTTTGTTGATTCAATAATCCATCATAAAATGAATAATCCAACAGTCAAATTGTACCTCGATTCAATAATCAAATGTTGATTTGGTTTATGAACAAAATCTACCTGTTCTTTATTCTTGTCTGTTGTGTTCAATCGTATTTGCTTCCCTTTTCCTGCCGTTTGCGATTGCATTTTTCATTGCCTTTAATCAAAATAACAGCTAGAATAGACAGACCGCAAACGCAAAGAAACTGACAAAGGCCGAGGATCGAAATCCACCAATCACCGCACATACACTGACCTCAGTTTGACCGTCGTGTTTTCTAAGAGGTCAGGCCTACGTCTGTTGCACTGATTACTGGCAGCAAACTGGGTCCGTGTGGTTTTCGTCCATTTGATTTTGATTCCAAACTGAAAATTGAAAATCAAAAATTCCCAATCGTGATTTTCAATGTTTGATTCCTCAAGAATTGAAAATCACAAATTTACAATCTCAATCGTCAATTTTTGTTTCTAAGAAACATAAAATTGAAAAACAATTTTCAATGTTTTGAAAATCAAAAATTGAAAATTGAAAATGGTCAGTTGGTGGTTTTTATTTCTTGTTTTTAAGGAGAAGGAAAACTAAACGATAATCTTCAATTTTGAGATTTTTGCTTGGTACCGAAGTTAAAATTATATTTTCAAATTCCTATTCCCTAAATTCAAGCTTATTAAAAATTCAAACTTGACAAAGCAATTTCATGTGTAAAGAAGAATTAATGCTAGTGAAATCCAAAATGAAAATCGTTTTTTGATTTTCCTATTTATGAAAAACAAAAATTGCCAACCGACTAAAAATACCTGTGATGGGAGGGGAGGATAAAAGCGGAAGTGGCGCCACTGCAAACAAGATGGCGGTCGCCTTGCAGTGAAGGAGTGTTTCGTGTTGCGTGTCTTCGTCAAGCTGTCTCTAGCGGAAATGTTACGCCAACAGGAAGCCAAAGCCTGCCTGTATCATGGCCGACACGTTTTCAAAGAATTAAAGCTGAATATTTTTTCCCTGATAAATATGCTTTTGTTGTAACCTTGCAGCATTACTCTACGCAGGGTAAAGCGTTTCGGATCGGGCCGTATAAAAGATAGACCGCCGACTGCGGACTGCGGACTGTGGACTGCGGACTGCGGACTGCGGACTGCGGACTGCGGACTGCGGACTGCGGACTGCGGACTGCGGACTGCGGACTGCGGACTGCGGACTGCGGACTGCGGACTGCGGACTGCGGACTGCGGACTGCGGACTGCGGACAGCGGACTGGGTATATGTAAAACACGGACCAGGTATAAAATGCGAACCACGTATTATGTCTTAGTGTAATGGTAATTAGTCAACTTACGCAACAGGACGGGAGAGGAAAGAAGACGTCAAACCTTGTGTGATAAGAGTGACAATAATTTTGTTTGAAAAAACTTTCCGACAAACATCACCTTCCTTTAAACAGAGTGAAAGACCAAAAAACAGTAATGTGAAGTGAAGGTCACGAAAAACACGCAATTTATAGCCCTGTCAAGTTTGTCACACACAATCCTTTTGCCGTCCTCTTCTTTCTGTCGTCCTGTTGCGTAAACGAACTTTTGTCACTCGACCCTAACAGTGTATAACTCCTTTGTTGTTGTTAAAGTGAAGGGATTTAGGCTTTAGCAATCAATGGTAGCCGCAGAGTCTTGATAAGAACTGTTTAAATAAACTTTAATAGCAGGACCGGTTTTGGAAATCTAAGATGAACATTAACCGATTGTATCCGAAACAGCCACAAAAGAGATATCAACTATAAACGCTCTGTTCACAAACGAGCATATTGCTCAAATGACTTACAAGTGGCTCAGTTTTGGCCAAAATCACCAAGAATACCAGTGTTTTACACGCTGACCAAACACATAAAACTATTCCTGCCGGCAGACCAATCGTCTCTGGTAGCGGTGGTCCCAAAGAACACATTTCTAGTTTTGTGGACTCGATTTAACCAGGCCAATCGCGCAAAAAACAAAAGATTCTTACGTCGAAGACACTGCACACAAAAGTGATATCATTGAAAACACGCCTCTTCCAGATGAAGCAATTTAAGCTACGCTAAACGTGTGTTGTCTCTGCCCTAGCATTTTCCAGGAAGAGGGAATCGACATCGTCTGTCACCATTACGAAGAACATTATCAGTCAAAGTTACCTATCCTTACTTCATATTTGGGAGACTTAATGCGGGTGATCTTAACAGAAAACTAAGTCAAATTCACCGACAAACACTACGTACAGACTCACGGCATTACAATGGCCACCAAAATCGCGGTTGCTTTCTCGGTCATTTTCATGGCTCACGTTGAGAAACAACTACTACATGCGAGCCCTTACAGCCATTTCTCCGGCTGGAAGAAATTTATTGATGACACATTCTCAGTGTGGACTCTTTCTGAGTCCGAAATCAACAACTTTATTGATTTCGCGAACTCTTTCCACACAACAATAAAATTTACACTGACGAACTGTCATCAAAACAAATTGTTTTCCTTGACCACTGAAGTTTTTAAAGGATCAAGATTCATTCGATTCAAACACATTATTTAAGCCGACAGAAACGTTTTAAGATGCGAATTTCTCCTTATTTTACCCTGTCATCGTTAAAAAGGGCTTCGTATACGGAATAGCCTTGCACTTACTCAAAACGAACTCGGTTAAGGAATAATTCCCGATAACTGGAGTTAAAGAAGAAAAAGAGTTTTAACTCGCCTTACAGAACGAGGCTACCCTCACGACCTTGTGGAAACAATCCTAGCCGAACTGCGCTTCGAATCGCGCAAAGCGGCTTTATCAAATAAACCCAAAATCTCAAAAAGATTCTAATGAAACACTTGCACCTTATTACGAGCAAAAACACACTCGCGCAAATATATCCCCACGCCCCCATTGGTTCTTATCTTAAAAGATTTTCTTGTTAGAGCGAAAATTCCTTCAATTTAACAACAACGTGAAAGGAGTTATACATGGTTAGGGTCGAGTGACAATACTATCAGACTAAAAACATAGCACGTAGTTCGCATTTTATACCTGGTCCGTATTTTATATATACCCAGTCCGCAGTCCGTGGTCCGTAGTCCGCAGTCCGCAGTACGGCCTCGGTTTACAGTTCGCATCCGATCTGGAACGCTCTACCCGGCTGCGTTGCGTACGTATGATGCTGCAAGGTTACAACAAAAGCATACTTATCAATGAAAGAACATGCAGATCATTTCTTTGAAAACGTCTCAGCAAGCTTTAGATTGCTGTTGGCGTTACATTTCCCCCAGAGACGGCTCGACGAAAACAAAGAACACTCCTTCACTACAAGACGACCGCCATCTTGTTTGCAGTCGTGCCACTTCCGGTTTTACCCTCCCCCACCCGTCACAGTTATATATGGTCTGTTTTCAATTTTTGTTTTTCTCGACTACGAAAATCAAAAAACGATTTACATTTCGGATTTCATCATCATTGATACTGTTTCCCGCAGTTTCGTTACACATGAATAGCTTTGTCAAGTTTGAATTTTTAATAAGCTGGAATCTATGGAATAGGAAATTGAAAATACAATTCTAACTTCGGTACCAAGCAAAAATCTCAAAATTGAAGATTATCGTTTAGTTTTCCTTTTCCTTAAAAACAAGAATTATAATCCACCAACAACTAACCATTTTCAATTTTCAATTTTTGATTTTCAAAACATTGAAAATTGTTTTTCAGTTTTATGTTTCTTAGAAACAAAAATTGACAATTGAGATTTTAAATTTGTGATTTTCAATTCTTGAGGAATCAAATATTGAAAATCACGATCGTGAATTTTTGATTTTCAATTTTCAATTTGGAATCAAAATCAAATGGACGAAAACCACACGGACCAAACTGGCGTACATGTAACAGTTTGTTTGGGTTTGAACTTCGGAACTCGCCAGCTCTCGACTCTCAGAAAAAAAAAAGAGGAAAACACAAAATTCTGAGGTCAACTTGTGGAAAGTGTAATTTTCAAAAAACAGTAATCGAATCAACATTCGATTATGGAATCGAGGGTAAATATGACTATTGGATTGTTCATTTTATGAATGGATTATTGAATCAACAAACGAAATCATTTTTCCGTGAATGAATTCATTAGTTCGTTAGCGACGGGAACGCTTGACCTGGTTTGACTGTAATTATGCAATTGATGCAAAGACAATTTATCTAGGCCCCCTCCCCTGCTTGTGGAAGAAGATCAGTAGACCTTATTTACGATACCCGCCATCTTTACACGCGCCTAAGGACTGATGGGATAAATATGACATCACGTGGTTTCTAAGGGGTGGGGGGGAAACAAGTGATAAAATCTGCCAAGAACAGAAAACGCGGTCGAGTTTGTATATTCCAGACAACAGGAAATGAGCAACTTTTTATTTTAACGACGATAACGGAAAATTACGGGTGGAAATGATCATTGTTACTTTTCTGGATGAGTAGCAGCCGCAAATGTTCTCACACAAGTAAAACTTGTCGAAACTCGAACCCTACATTTTGCATGACTACTAAATCGTCGTTTTTGTTTTGAGATAATAAACAAACTCGACCGGAATTTCTTGTACTGTACCCCGTGACGTCGCTCTTATCCCATCAATTTATATTTGGGTTGGTTTTCGGAAAACAGAACACGCTCAAGACCAGCAAAGTAGCGTAGCATATGGACAAAGAAATAGCCTCACTAGAGCAAGCAGCAGTTTTATATCTTTCACGCATATTTTCACAAAATGCAATATTTTATAAATAAATCAGTTTTATTATTCGCTGTGGCTATGTGGCCGGTAACCGGTCAAGATTTACAAAACACTAAATGACCGGCAGTCCGATATTTTGACTATAGTGATTGGGGTTCTGGCGATACTGAAAATACTAACCATACTTATTAGGGTTAAGCCCTGAGAAGAGGTGATCAGGGTTGACGGTTAGCTTCTATTTTGGGTTGGGGTTTTCGCCATAATATTTGAATAAAATCACCATCTTGCAGCGAAACCATGGTGGGCCAGTGGTTAGAGTGTAATAGTGTGCAGAACCTACGCTCCGGGATAGAATCCACTCATATTCGAGTGAATTTTTTTTCTTTTGAAATTGAAGAGACTTACACTTTGACAACATTTGTTGACCAGAAACTAAGTTTCTCAATCTCCTCTAAATCGACATTTGATAGTTTGGTCTTGCTGGGATTCTTCGATTTGTCAAAATTATTTAAAAAAAATATTGGACTTGCCGGTCATTTAGTGTTCTGAAAATCTTGACCGGTAACCGGCCACATAGCCACAGCCTTTATTATTTTCCAAGCAAATTTCCTTCTGTGCCTAAGAGGGAATAACACAACCAGCATAGGAGCTACGAGCCCGAAATTTATGGATCACATTTATCAATAATTGAACATCACTGCCCTCCAAAATTGTTTAAATTGGCGTTTGATTCGTGACATGGTTACCAGGCCAAGTTAATGTTGTGTTTTCACTGTCGTTTCTCAAACCTCTCTTGTAGCACAGATCACAGTCGAACAAATTTCCTCAAACTTGACAGACGAAATAAACACAGTCTTAAAAGACAATTTGCAAAACACCATAATCAGAAAATTTGCTCGTATCGCTAAATCAAAATTTCAAAATAAATTTCATTTATTCAGTTGAAAGCGAGAAGAGATTGAACTTATACATATCCCAAATAGAGAATTATCCGTTCACTTCTGACACGACGCGAGCACGTTAGAAAAATACTAAAATTGGCTCATAATTAAGTTAAAACGTACCCAAAAGGAAGACAATTTCCAAATTTAGGTCATCACAAAGATTTTGGATAGCTCTCTTAGAGCCTGTTTACATGGAGTGGGGGACCCCGGTCTAGTGGGGTTGGTTTCTTTTGTTTTCACGCTCTGGGGGACACAAAACAAAAGAAACCTACCCCACTAGACCGGGGTCCCCCACTCCATGTAAACAGGGTCTTAGTCTCATATCACCTTCTACTAATTAATTCATTCACACCTAATTTTCCATTTCTTCACTGTTCCTTGCCTACGGCAGCGTTTCTACCCTTTTGGTATTATTGCATGTATTTACATTTATAATTACTGGGTTGCCTGTGCGGCCCAGTCATAAAATGGGCTTTCGGTCGTCGGTGTCAAAAAGTGGTCTCCCCGGGGAGGGAAGACACGAGGGTCTGGTACCGAGAAACGATGTTGTCACAAATGGTTTCATATGAGTTTCTCTTGCACGGAGCCTTGCACGGATACTTTTTGTACCTTGTCTGCGCTCCTCCTGAAAAACCCACAAGGCGTTGCGAACCTGAAGAAGGCTATTTGCGTTGTTCGAAGCGATTCGCCCATGGGAGTCACTCTATAATTTTTTTATTGCTCGAGTTTAAGTCAGTTAGATGATGTTGGCGCTGGGAAACTCAGAGAAATGCTCGCGTTGCATTCAAACCGACACGCCGTTCACGGTAGGTTCACACAGGGTTCACACTAAAAGACTGAAAAGATGACTGTGAGCGTCAGGTTTGGAACGCCGTGGCTGCTTCGTGAACTATCGATCGATGTAGTACATGAGCAATTAAGAGGTACAATTTATGAGCAAAGTATTTCACCAGTTGACGACACTATGGCTGAAGACTTGATTGTAAGCCGTCATAGTCAGTGAAGCGAACAACTCAGTTACGCACGTCCATGAGCGAGGGACGTGACAACTTTGCCATGTTAGAAGACTGGCTTTTCCTTTAAATATTTCCTTCTATTCAATGCAACATACGCCACTTTGGAGGTCTAAATTTCGGATACTGAGGATAAAGAAGACACGGACAAAAATAGGAACTCTGAGAATTTCGCACACAAGTTTAAAGCTTCTCCGGGACATCCTATCCGGGAGCTTCACAGAGAGCGACTGGAGGAAAATAGGAGCTATTACTGACAAGGTTTGGTGACTGAGTAGAGCATACAAATGTAGCCCACGTCGAGGTTTCAGGGGGTTTGCTTTGTTTGTATCTGTATCTTGCTAAGCTTTTATCATTAAATTTGTACAAGATCTTGTGATCACAATTCTGTGTTTTCGCCCATTCAGCAAGCACGCTATATTGATGTCAGCATTAGCGAGTTTCAGAAACATGCCTTTGAAAATTTTCAGCTCTCGTGATGTTTCTTGATAATTCTTTTACCATTTTATGGAGATGTAAACTGAAGTCACCGCAAAATGGAAACTTAAAAAAGCGTATAATCCATTTATCTCGAAACATAACACACATGACTTATACGACATTTATTTTCGTAAAGGTGTTTTGAATACGAACGAACAAAGGCAATGTGAGGGGCAAAAACAGCATTAATATAAATGAACCATAGGATTTTAACTAATATAAGGGTCAATTATTGTGCATTGAGATGAATCGCTTGAAAAGAGAGACTTCGCTTGAAGATGTGATCAGAAGTAAACAAAGGCATTATAGTGCGTCACGTTCAGTCTTTTTAATATCCAAGGAGTCATTGTGAATAGTGTTTCAATACTGTTTAGCTGGGCCGTCGATAAAATCCGGAACATGGAACATTCCGGAACATGCCGGAACATTCCGGAACATCCCGGAACATGCAAAAATAAAAATAATTTTCATGAAAAAAAATATAATAAAATAATAATAATAAATAATTTTTGTAAAAATTAATAATAACGTGAAATAACAAAAAAAAAAACGAAAAATAATGAAATAATTAAGAAAAAGAAACTGGTATCCTCTCTGAGTATGAGAAAACAATATTTTGTCGCAACCGATTAAACTTTGTTGGGCGAGTGAGGGTTCATGCAAATGACAGTAATGAGTGAAGGCTTGCTTCTAAATTCAAAATATATAAAAATGGGTCGCGAGGAGTGGTTTTTTTAAGCTTTCGTCACAGAGCTACCTCTTGTAATTGTTTGCCATGAGTTAATCATCTGGCGGTTATCCATTTACGGCTCTGCGATGGTCTAAAATGTCGGTGCAGTATTTCATGTCAAGCCCAGTCGGTAAGTAGCTCATTTCAAGCCAACATATATAGTCTCCTTACATATAACCGACATTTGTTTACTTGAGGTGCTTTGCTTCACTTGAGGTTGACATGAATTACTTACAGACTACAGTGAGACTAGGCGGCTCTGGGAACTTAAGAAGAGTATAGGGGCTCCTGTCTTTGGATTTTAGTGGACAATACTCACATTCGTAGTAGTTTCTATACTGTTTACAGTCAGCATGATATTTCAGACGTCTCCTCGAGTCGCAAGAGGAGTTTGCGGGGAGACGGCTAAAATTCAGGCTAACTGGTAACAGGTAGAAACTACCGCTGCGCTACCACTGCCACTGCAACTATTAGCGGCGAATGTGAATCTTTAATTTAATTATTCAAGTCCAGAGCGACGAGCCCCTAAGCTCTTCTTACGGTCGCAAATCCGTAAATGAATAACCGTTAAACCGCATGGCAAACATTTCCATGGACCCTCGCCCCACAAATTATTGGCGACAAAATATTGTTTTCTCATACCCGGAGATGATACGAGTTTCTTTTTCTTTATTTCTTTGTCTTTCGGTTTTTTGTTATTTTACGTTATTATTAATTTTTATAAAAATTGTTTTATTATTATTATTATTTTATTATTTTTTTTTCATGAAAATTATTTTTATTTTTGCATGTTCCGGGATGTTCCGGAATGTTCCATGTTCCGGATTTTATCGACGGCCGTTTAGCTGGCACAAAAACTTCGGACGAGTTATAACGCGGCATAATTATCTTCCATGAAGAAAAGTTAGTCTTGGGTGAGACAAACAGAACTGGAACGAATTTTTAACTCACATCGGTATCAGGTAAAAAATATGTTATCGATCGTTTCATCTATTTACATCGTTTCAAGTGCGTACTGGTGAACGCAACATGCGAGCGAGAAATCTTTAAACTTTTTTAGGTCTCAAAATGCAAAGGATTTTATTCCTTTAAGTTAGAGAAACATACCATGAGGAAAATCTTAAAACTGAATATTTTTCAGCTTGTGGAAAAAATAATGCGTTTTCATGTAGACTGTGGACCGCAAATTAGGATCGCACTTTCCACAAACATGCGAATTCTGAAGTTGAGAACCGACGATTGCGTTTTTCGCTGCTGTCAATCATCTTAACGGACCTCTTAGAGTCTTAGGAAACAAAACTTTACTTCACGGGTTCAAAAGGTCATGGTTTGTGATTTGTGGATTTCGATCCGTTTTGTGTATTTCTCTGTTTCAAGGTTCGTTGCTTGTGATAGTAATTATGATTGACGGCAGCGATAAACACGATTGTGAAGGTGGCTTTTGAACTTTAGAGTTAGGCTTTTGTACATTATGCTAGCATTTTTTCGAGCATTTTAGTGAGGCAAAAGCATTGAGCATTATTCGAGCATTTTAGTGGCATTTTCCCCGGAAAATTGATTTTACCAAGAAAATAAAATAGAAATTAACTTTTTTCAGGAGCCCATGCCCCATGAGCTCCTGCTTTTTTAAACAAATGAAGACTAAAATTCAAAATTCACAAAAAACCTAATACAGCTGGGTTTTTTGGCCGTATTTATGAACTTGTACACGTTGTCGTTGTTACTTGCAACACTTGCATGTTTTTGTAAGTGAATAAAACTTTGAAATTAATTTAAAAAACCGTTTGTATTATGAGCATTATCCGAGCATTTTAGTGACTTTTTTGCGGAGACCGAGCATTTTAGTGGGAAAAATGGAGCATTAAGGTGGAGCATTTTAGTAGGGAAGCAAAAGCATAATGTACAAAAGCCTATTTAGAGTTCGCATGTTTGTGAAAAGCACAGTAAAGTCTCCGTGCAGTCAGTGAGGCCCCTGGATCAGGCGGGATCAATGGGCAGTTAACTGTCTGCTTTAGTATACTTCAGGTTTTCATACAATACAATATTTCTGTCTAGTGTAAATCAGCTCAGTCTGTCGCATTTTATGCTCGTAGAAGGACAACAATTTTTGGAATTTCCGGTTATGTCAAATTAGTCAAGTTATACTGTCACGCTATATTTTGGGGCACAGAGGGATTGGGGAAGGGGTGCGTGGAAATAATGCAAATTGTTTCCTGTTTAGAATTAATGGCTAGCTTGTTTATTTTTATTCATAATGGTGGAATTTAAAAGTTATTATACAGGCCCCACTTAAAAATGGTACTCTTTTTTTGGGGTTACGAAAGTCTTTTAAAAGGGTACAATGTTCTGAATGATTTTATGTTTCAGTCTCACATGAGATTCTGTTGCATGCAATGGTTGCCGACAAGGTTTTATGGTAGCCTGAGTGTGTATAGCCGCCCCCTCCCCTCAGAAAAAATAGCCCCTTTGCAGCCCAGTTAAAAATCGCCTTTCGGCGATTCTTGTTCTACCATAATCTACCGAGGAGGTTTTGGACATTTGTCCTCTCTCTCCAGTCGACAAGACGAATTCATGAAACATCTGTCAAGTTTTGTCAATGAATAAACAAGAATAGTAGTGATAGAGGGTCATTTTACGCGGTTTTGGTGGATTCCCTTCATTACATATGCAGGGTTCCCTCGCAAAAATGGATTCCCTTCATTACATATGCAGAATTCACTCGCAAGAGTGGATTCGTCCACAAATAATAAGTGCGTTCCTCCATATCTAATGAGCGTGTCTCTACTACAATAGGAACGATACGCTTGCCCAGACTCGCCCAGTCTCTTTTTACTCTGATTGGCTCATGTAGAATCCATTGTTTTCAAAATAAAAGGAGTGTAGCTAAATGTCGTTGTTCGTGGGTGTGGGTAATTGTCGTGGGTAAAAAACAAGTCTTCCAAAAAGAAATAAAAATTAAAAAATTAAATAGCAAAAAGTTGCACAATTCATGAAACGAAAATGACCGCGTACATACCAGTCCTATTCCCCTTCCCCGAGGTCAGCAAAGCAAATAACCGAATCCTCTCGTACAAACGGACACTAAAAAGACATGTACGTGAAAAATAAAAGAAACCCTGTGCACTATGTAAACCTGAAGCAGGCTATACAAAAACTGGAGACTGAACTGCTTTTTCTCAAAGATGTCAACATTCGTGACTGAAACAGTTTAAGGAGTGATATTTCGAATCGTTACAGCAAAGAGTTTGTACACAAAACAAAACAAAAAGTAATCGAGAAAATTGTATTTCCGTACGACAATAAAATTTACATACAGTCTCGCCTTAACTTGAAAGGTTGGGAATGAAGGTGGTTCCTTCGTAAGGTAAGAGACCTAACACTTCTATCTAAAAATATGAAATACCTAAAAATTGTCCTTTTCCCTTCCCTTTCTCACGGTGATCGCATTCTATCATGTTAAAAAATCTCCTCTGATCACTGGAATTGTAGATCGAATAAAGATAAATAGTGAGCAGCTATTTCCATTCAGCGAGTCAGAGCTGTCCCATACTTTCTGCAAATTGCAGGTATAATTTACGTCTGTTTCGTTTATTTCGCGGCGATAGCTCAGGCATGGATAAATCTTCAGCGGCAAAATGTATTTTATACAGTGATGTTGTGAAAGGGGAGCCAAGTCCCAAGGGAAGAGGACGTAGAAGCCGTGACGAAAAAGGCAATCAAAAAGTTGGAGATATTCGTTTCACAAATATTTCACAACTTTTTTCTATTTATTTCTTTTTTTCAATTACTTTACTTTATCACATTTTTCCCATACTCTTTTTTACCCACGACATTTACCCACACCAACTTCCACGACCCACAACATTTAGCTACACTCTTATTAAAGGGTCATAAAGTTGATTTCTTGTGTCTTAAGAAACGCGTCTAGTTTTATTGTGAGTATTTATTAGTCGCGTGTTTTATTGTTTTGTGTTTTAATGATTAGACGTCAACGTTTTCCCTTGAGGTTTGTACTGCAGAGCTGAGCCAATTTGTATGCAAATGTCGGCTTGTAAACTCGCATAACTGAACTGACGAACGGCGCGTAAAGCAGTATAGAGTGTTTTCACTCACGTGGCCAGAATATATGCAAATTTATTGTAACAAAAGAAAGCCTTTGGATAAGAAAAGAGTTCAACTCCCAGAGGACTGGTTTGGGACACCAACATGGCCGCCGTTTCATCGTTTTGGGACACCAATATGGTCGTCGTGACCTCATGTGAAGACGCTCTAACTCACCTGTTAAAAAAGTAAGGAGTTGTTCAAGGGACAACTTGGAGCGTTCCCACGCAGGAAAAAAAAACAGCGCTAAAAAGGCGTTTTTGAGGGTCTTTTAGAGGAGCTGCTGATGCGGATTAGGTTTTATTGTTGAATGAGTTTGTGAAACATTGCCGCATAAGTCAGTTGAAACACATGTCCAATAAAACTGGCTATCATTTGTCCCTGGACTTGTTCCACTTCGTTAGCGCTCGATTCGACTTGCGTGTTTGGAACAAAGTTTTAACAAATATTGGTGATAGTAAGACTTTTTTCTTAGCAAGGCGATTGCAAGGAAGATAGCGCTTTCGAAATCTACTTGCTTCCTCCCTCCCTCTTTGTTTTTTTTTTCGTCCCTACACAGGCAGCCCAAGCGCACTATGTTTGGGTTCGGGCTTCAGAGGTCATTTGGTTGGAATATACTAGAATTATTAGTGTATTATCTGATGCCAAAAAAATGCAAAAATCTTAAAGATATGAAGTCTTCTTGTTTGTCTATCTGTACTAGTAGCCTTTAAGATAACGAAGGTCAAGATTTCTTCCATTATTACATGTGATTCGGGCGGGCCCTTATTGTTCGAATTTTATCACATGTATTGGAATCTACAACGCTAAGAAATATTGATTCAAAAAGCTCCCTTACCTTTAGTTCACGGCCACTCTGTGTCCTACGGCCGGTTTAAGCGCCGTTTAGTCGACTTTCTTTCCATCGAGTACTGAACACTATAATAATTTTATAATAATTTTTTTCTTAGCGTTGTAGATTCGAATACATGTGATAAAATTCGAACAATAAGTGCCCGAATCACATGTAATAATGCAACAAATCTCGATCTTCGTTATCTTAAAGGCTACTACTACACCGTCTACACCCGAACTCAAACATGTGCGCTTGGGCTGCCTGTGGTCCCTACCCACAATTCTGTTTAACACAAGTGACTGCTGGTCGAAATTTATAGTGCGCGTCTAAAGCTGGTTTCAATGTCGTTTAGCAGTTTACATTTCGTTATTGGTCACGTTGAGAAAAGTTTCCCGGAGAGCATCATGTAAAACTCTGAGATAGCACAAAGTTAAATACGATTCGCAGAGTCTGCATCGTCCAATATCGTATTGTATTCTCGTTTCATTTGGCTAAACGGATCAATCACCCTGATCCGGGCTGAGACAGAAAGTTAAGGTACGATATTGTTCGTTTTTCTAAGGTGACCACTAAGTCTTTGGCCTCGGGAACAGGCTTTTAGGAGTCAAATGAATCAGGTGAGAGCAAAATTGCAGGCGAACTTTGACACGGGCCAAGACTTAATTTTTTCTGGTGTGAAAACAGGGAGTATGCTGGTCTGCAGACCGTGTGACTCTACATCCGCGAACTTGAATAAGACGACTGTAAAAGAAAAGTCAAGGTGTGTTTATCTGGCAATAGGCTGAGTTTTTCCGAGTAATTTAATGATATTTCGCTTGTGTTAAACGTCAGAATATTATGCGTGGTTGTGGATAGTCGTATCAGTGCCGCGATAGTGTGTGATTTTGTGATTTCCGCATGGTGTTGACAAGCAGAACTCAGACAAGTATGTGGACTGGTTGAGCTGTTGCACCAAAATATTCTGTGCCAGCCATAAAAACGTTTCGTCGGTGTTCAGCTTAGCTGATTGTGCCTTGAAAAACCAATTCTCGACTCAGGAAAATTGCATCTAGGTCTAGTTTCAGCGGACTTTTGGGTTTGAACCATTTAGGGCGGTTTTTCCATATAGGAAAGTGATATTTGTGTACTGTTTCAATTAGTTCGTTGTCTACTCCATGCGAAATCCTGTCGTTTATCGGACCGCGAAAAAAAGTAGTGTTTTGCTAACTATTTAAGATGTTAAGTAAGCCTTAACCAGAAACTTTTTGGCGGCAGTTCACTAGACTGAAATGACACCGGTTTGAAACTTCACGGAGTCAGATTACTGAATAAATGTTCTAAAATTTGCATCATTTTAAATTTGGACCCGTAAAAATGCTTCTAGGGACCAGTAACTTACTGCCCTACGTCAGATAAAGGCTTTTAATCAGCCTTTGAATTATTTTTTATTATTTTAAATGCGGCCAAGTAGTAGAGAATGAGTTAATTTTTTTGTTAACCCAGTTTTCAAAAATCCAGGTATATAATAATAAAGCAAAATGTTCATATTGACACAGTTCTCTCCTTTGGGTCTGTGGTGGACGTTATCTGTACAGTACATATCAAAAGATGTGCAAACCATTTTTTTTTTTTTTCACGGCAGCCCTCTTGAGAGTAGCAAACCCCCGCCTGGTTAGCTCATTTGGGAGAGCGCCGGTCTGCTGAGCGGGAAGTCGCGGGTTCTAACCCCAGCCGGACCAACACTCAGGGTCTTGAAATAGCTAAGAAGAAATTGCTGCCTTTATAAAGACATCTACAAATGGTTAGACTTTCTACTCTTCTCGGATGAGGACAAAAAACCGTAGGTCCCATGTCACAGCACTTTCACTGATCTGTTCTTTTGGGACGTAAAAGAACCCACGCCACTGTTCGAAAAGAGTAGGGGTCGATGGTAGACCCCGGCGGGTGGTGTGGTCAACCTTTACGGGTTGTGGGATGGGTAGGGATGGCACCTTGTAAGCTTGTCAAACTAAAACTAAGAGCTGGGAAAATATAACCCCGCGGTAATTAGATCCAATTTCGAAGGATTTTCCAGAGGAATTATTTCAAATGACAGGAACGACAACCTTGCTACCCGTTTTCAGCAACTGTAAGGTATTTTGATGTAAGATAGTTGGGTCTCACCCTTGAAGGATGATACAATTGCTTCATAATAAGAAAAGCCATGTAAGAGTAATAGGTGACTGCTATACAAATTCACAGTGGGACGGGTGGTCAGGTGTATATATTTATATATTGCTTCCATGAGGCACTAATTCACTGAGAGGAATGGATATGGCTGAATGAAAAGAAGTCAAAAAACTCACCAAAACAAGTTAGTTGGCGCAAGTCCTTTCCTCCCACTTTCCCAGTTGCCTTTGCCCGAATTCTAAAGAATGATGTTATGTTGGCTCCCACATTGATGTCTGCACGCTGAAGTAGCCGCTGACCACCAAAACTTTCCAAGGCTATAATAACATTATTCAATGTTGCCAGTTATAAACCAAAATACTGATCAAGTTTCAAGGTCAAGCTACAAAACTAACTATTCCTTAAGATATAAACAAGAATAATCATTTCAAATATAGGATGTCCCAAAATAAAAAACCACAAACACGTGTCATGATGAGCTCCAGTTCTCAGTTTCTTTAGTTGTTTCATACTTTGAACTCTAAAACAAAGATAACAAATGATTCGGAATATTTTTGGTCATTTTTCAAATTGAAAATTTGAAATTGAAAAATTTGAAGGTGTTATCCTTTTCCATCCCTGCCATAGGAAGCCAAAGACACAAACGTGTGGTTTATCTATAGCAGTAGAGTAATCTTAAATCAACTGAAACAATATATCAGGGTTTTCTTTGATCCTAATGTGTTTTATAGCTTTTAAAATACACCCCCCCCCGCAAAACAAAAGAGGAAAAGAAACGAAATTAATGACATAGCTCTCTTAATCTTTATCCTTATTCGTGATCAATTTTTAAGTCACCTTCTGGTTGATATGTGAGAAGCAGCAAGTTCTGGTCAGCATCAGACACTGTTAAAGGAACAAGAGTTTATTCATACTTCAGATATTTTTCCGCACAGATGGAAGGCTGCCAAGTTAATTCTACAGATTCTAATAAGAACGAATTAAAAATATAACTGTCATAAAAGCATAATACTGTTTACGGTCCACAAGTTGAGGTAAGTAACAGTTTAAAGAATTTGAACAGCTGAACAGCGTTATTTTGTGCTCAGGAGATGATCAAAGAATTTCTCTTCGTCTCCAAAGAGGTGGAAAGAAATATATTTTCCAATTCCTGTTGAGGTTGAAATTTAAGAATTATGCTCTGTAGCAACACTTACGCTGTATCTATTTTTTTCCCAGAATGTATTGCAGGAGATGGAGGTCAACCATGTTTTAAGAAGCTAGTGAACTGAGCAGCCATCTAAACTATGGCCCTTTTTTAAGTTTTGTTGTGTTTGTCAGTAGCTCTAGTGAAGTAAAAAAATGAGCATAACGCGTAGTAATAGTAGTACGTAAATCTTGGAAAAACATAAAACAGGCACTTGGCGGTAACTTAGCTTCGTGTCATCGGAAACGCTAAAGTTGTCTTGAGCAAAATACAGATATGTATCAAAGAAAAACAACATACAGAATGAAAATTCGTGTACGTGGTAATACCGGTATATTCAATATCTCCGGCTTTGTCTTGATACTCATGTGCAGCTCAAGTTTCAATGTCGTGCAGTAGAATGGTGTAAAAAATTTACTATTAACATTGTATTCTTGACATGCGTGTTTAAAGTAAGTCTTTTGATTGAAAAGGAAAAGTAAGTCGTGGAGCGGACCAGAAGATTTGATCGCGAGATTGGAAGGAAAACGGTATGGAATCGCCATTATCCATCACTCTCAGACGACCATGCCAAAAATATATATATTTATAAATAAAAATGTGGCAACATGTTTTGCAGCTATGAAGAGGGTTACCTGCCCAAAAAGGAAATCTTGTCTAATAGTACTCTTTGTTTCATCGCTATCACATCCTATAATTTATTGGAGTGCCGACATAAAGAACACTTCGGGGTCAAGCATTTCAAAAACCGAATGCAGCGTTAATAATAATAATAATAATAATAATAATAATAATAATAATAATAATAATAATAATAATAATAATATTTATTGCTTTGTATTGTGAAAATATCAACCCAGAAAAAGAAATTATCATCTGCGCATTACATTGACTCCTTAAAATCCTACCTAGAAATCCTCTTTAAAAAGGCTACATTCCTAGTACATTTTGTTCTAATTCTAAAAACTCTATTATCCCTTTAAGTCCTATTCATATTTACAAATCGTACTTAATAAATTATTAAAAATAATAACTCTAAAATTCTAAAAACAATGACTAATTATTCCTTAAAATACAAATCCTTCTAATAAAAAGAATAAAAATTAAATTAAACAAATGAGTTTTGATTAACGAGCCTTTTTAAAAGCATTAACTGAAGGTATATTTCTAATAAAAAGGGGAAGATCGTTCCATAATTTTGGGGCAGCCATATAAAAAAATCGATCTCCCAGCGTGGAAAGAGACTTGCATGATGGAATGTTAAGACGTTTGCCGTCATTTGATCTTAGATAGTGTCTTTCAGAGATACAAGTTCGGGAATGTAAGGCGGAGCGAGTTGATGAATGGCCTTGAAAGTTAACAATAAAATTTTAAAAACTATGCGATATGCTACGGGTAACCAGTGTAGGGCTCTTAGCAATGGTGTAATATGACAAAATTTACTTTCTTCGAATACGAGGCGTGCAGCAGAGTTCTGGACTCTTTACAGTTTCTGAATCTGATACGCCAGTAAGGGGCTGTTTACATGGAGGGAGGAAGATCCTATTACCAGGAAGATCCTAGAAGGTGGAATAACTTTACGTTGGGTTTACATGCAGAAATTTCGGCCCGTGAGTTGTCCAAGTAGAGAAGGTTACAGAAGGAATTAAAATTGGCGGACGAGAAAATCAAAAATGCAATTTGGGTCCTTCTGCCCTCTTTACTGGCGTAAATCACTACCTTTCAGCAGAATTATCACAATAATCAGCTCGTGGTAACGCCAAACGAAATGGTCGGCCTTTATTGCCGTGATTAACCACTGAACGACCCGCCCCTATTTTTGTCTGTTTTTCCCTAGTACTAGGATCTTACTAGCGAAGGCAGTTTACATGGTGTTAGGATCTTCCTACCTGTCAGCTAGGAAGATCCCAGCTCTAGGAACAAGTACAACTCTTTGCATGTAAACTGAATACATAAAACATATAGTATTCAGAAACATCCTGATTCCGTCTGTGAGAATGACGTTAACAATGAGCAAAATGTTCGCGCGTATTATATGCCAAACCATTCAATGAGAGGTTAATTATTCTACTGCAAAAATGTTATTTTAGCGACTATTTTCTATTTTATTTTCTTCCGCCGGTTCGTCCAGTTTAGCCATAAGTTACTCCTTTTGCATCCACTGGTATTCGCCCTGTTCGCCCTGTTGTAAACCGGTTAAACCAGGCCACTACAGTGTATTACGGCCTCGTATTTTGCGCGTTCTCTTGATCTTATATGGTTAAATGACATAATATTGGAATAATAAAGGCATGCATCGGAGTTTCAGTACATTCCTTATCCTCTTGATATTGTACAAATAATGGAATGCTCCACAGGTTGTTTTCGTTACGCGATCACCCATTGATAGGTTAGAATCTAACTGCACACCCAGATTCCGAATGGGAAATTGTGGAGCAATGACAGAGCGTCCGATACTTATGATATCAATCGTGACTTTAGCGAGTTACTGTCTGGTGCCGATCAAAAGAAGTTCAATTTTAGCATCATTCATAAGTAACTTGTCTTGAGACATCCTCTGCTTGATGTCTTTCATGCAACGTTCGATAGAAGCAGCTGCATCAGCCTGGCCAGAGTGCGCCTTGGGACTAACGAGATGTATAACTGAGAGTCAGCGGCATGACAGTGAACAGTTGGGAGGTGCTTTTCAACGACATCAAAAGGTGTCAAACATCACCTCACTGCTCAAACAATTGGCTGTGACAACAATAGGAAAACCACACAAACAATAACCCTAACCCTCAAAACAAAAGGCAATATTGTTTTAGACGACCACTTAAATTAGATGTTCCTATGAGGTACTGGACTACTCCATCAAACAGTGCACTTGCATAAACCGTAAAGAGAGAACGGCAAAGACACGAGCCACGAGGCCATTATACCGCAGGTCAAAGTTATGAGAAACAGCTCACCGAACAGAGACTCGCTTGCAATGGCCAGACAAATAAGATCAGAACCAGTCCAGGGCGGTGCCATTCAAACCAAGTTTTTGATGATAATGTGTCAAGGAGAATACTGTGATCAAGGGCATCGAAAGCAGCGCCAGTAAGTTGAGTCGGAACTCCGAACAAGCACATTTATTACACAACGCTAGACAGTCAACTGAAACAGACAGAGAAAACAACAAAAGACGCAGAGTGAAAGGTAACCTAGGTAATGGGTTGATTATGAGTGTAGCGAATAGCATGGCAGCACAACTATGCGAGCTATGGCGTGGCATCTGTCTCCTTCACTTCTATAAGAAAATAACAAGCAAAAATAAAGAAGAGCTAAACTACGTTACCCTGTTCGTGGCAGTAGCAAGAAAACATCGAGTCAGAGACTTTCAGGATGTAAAAAGAATTTTCGGAATTTCATGGCATCAACTAAGTGACATAGTTTTTGAGATAAACCGGGCGACGAGTCGGACGAAGAGACCGGCGTGGTCCAGGACTCATGGGCGAAATTGGAGGATCAGTGGCAGGAACTTTCAATTCGTCAGCACATGGGGAGTTGGGGAGGGCAACTGAGTCTTGATGCTAACAGATAGAACTATCCATACTGGACACAGGAACATTTCCATTAGGAACAGGGGGGAGTTTGACGTTTGACTGGCATCGGCAGGAGGGCTCGGAGGAGCGTTAAGTGCCTCAGGGATCTGGGGTGGAACCACATAACGGAGGCTCTGAGGGACGGAAGAAACAGCAGGTTCCTTGTTGATATCCTCATCAGCATCAGGACTGTAACGACGTGACAGGTTAGGCGTGGGCTCTATTTGGCCAGCAACAAGATAACACTCAGAAAGCTTAATGCGGTAGGAGGTAGAACGTACCTGGGTACCGGTAAACTTCCGTAGGTTGCACACGAACCATCGGTAGAAACCACAAGATATCTATCATGGGCACGGGTCTTGGAGGCATCAGAAGTGATGTAAACCAAATTGTCGACCTGTGAAGTAGCGGGCAGGCGAGGACTGCAGCCAGGAGCTTTAGAACTTTCACTGGCAAGGTGGTTACTGAGGCGCGAGGAGTATTGCCGTCTAATCAGTTGGAGGTAAGACAAAGGAATCTGCGAGTTGGTGAACTAATCACGTTGAAACCACATTTCCCGAGAAGACAGCCCGCTGTTACGTATGCGGGTATTAAGGTTGACGGAAGCTACAGCTAAGGAAAGTAGGGAGATAGGGCCTCCCTCTGGGCAAATACGGAGAAGCTCATCACCAAGTTCAGCGACGCACTTTTCAGCAACAGGGTTCTTGTTTGGGTTTTTCACGCGACCAACTTCTACAGCCAAGCCGTACTGAAGAAGGGTTGCATCGTTGGACAGTGACGAGAAGCCAGGGGCGGGATCTACCCGAATGACGGCGGGGGCGGGGGGCAGGCCAGTGGACGCAGCTCGAGGCAGAGCCGAAGGAGACCTGCACGGATAGAATCTCGGCGCTCGTCATCCAGTAGGCACGCAGCAGTGTATGAGGTGGAAGTCTCGCGGACTACAAGTATCAGCTGACGATAACGCTTCATGACATCTGCGGCGACGGAGATACCCACACCCTCAGGAGGATCAGAGGTAGATTGCTCCACGAGACTGGATGGAACGTTTTTCAGGGAAGAGAACAAGTGGCAAGACTGTGAGCACCTATCCAAGGCTTTGTCGAGGACTAAAGCAAAGAAATAACGCTGAATGATCAGCTTTATCCGATGGCGGGAGAGATGGTTCAGCTTTACATGCAGGGCGGAAAGGAAGCCATCTATGATGGCACGGAGAATGACTATACATTCGTGAGGAGAAGCAAAAGGCTCGTCGCATCTTACAACGAGGGGTCCGTCTCGAGAGATGGTGACGACGTTTAGGTAACGTTTGACGTCTTTGATGATAGTCAATTTCTTTGAAGGGCGGGTGCCCCGCTTAAGGTGCAAGTGGACGCGTCTAAGATCTGGGCATTCGAGCTGAGTTTGGAGCCAGGCGGGACAACTTGTGAGTGGTAAGGAGGCAAGTCCGGAAAGTACATCATGAACAGAAATAGGGCGAACAGCGAGATCCTCTGCTTCGGATAGGAAAGAGCAAATTTGACGGCGGGGGTCATCGCAGGCTGGAGCACTGCGACTAGCGAAGTCAGATGGTAGGTTAGCAGAGCCGGCTAGATGGAGCAGCGAGATCTGGTAGCGGTTAACAGTTGACAGGAATGAAGTCAGGCGAGGGCTGGAGGACAATTGACCACGACAAAGTTTCTCAAAGACCTGGACGCACGGCTTAGTGTCAGTCAGAACATAAGACTTGGGGCAAAGTGCTTGACAGCACCACCAATGGATTGGGCGTCTATTTCACATGGCAGCCCAGAAGCTTCATGTTTTTTTTAACTTAGCGCTGAAGAAACCGGCAAGGTGGAGCTTCTGGTCGCGGAGAATGTAAAGGGTTGCACCAAGGCCACTCATCTTGACAGACTCATCAGTCACGATCCAGAGTTGATCTTCAGGTTTGGGGAGAGCGATTGATTTGTTGGAAGTCAGAGCCCCCTGACAGGAGCAGAAACATGCTAAGAGGTTATCAGACCCGACGATTGTATCCTGAGATTGATGACCGGCAGTAAGCGACTCGAGCGAAGCAAGGAATTGGGCGCAACCACTAAGGACCCGGCCGAGCATTTTGTAGGAACCAACAAAAGCGCGGAGTCCACGAACGGTTTTGGGGGGTTCACAGGACGCCAGAGCGGCTATGCGATGCGGTGAAGCCTGGATAGAACCTTGGCACTATATCCAGGGAGGAGATTCACGTACTCTACGACCACCTTTATGTCCTCAGGGCGGCGGAAGATTCCTTGCGCCTCTTGTTCTGAAGAAGGTCAACCTGGACTCTAGAGTACTGCGGGACACGCCCTTTGCATTGGGGAGGTTCGACAGGACCCATGTTCACGATGCCTTCGATTGGGCCAGCGGCACCATTGTAGCCAAGGATGCGAGGATCAAAGACCACTTGGAATTCTCTTGGGAGTGAAATGAACGAGGCTTTCTCAGAGGCAGATAGCAGACCGTCGGGATCCACACGGACAGACTCTACAGGGAAGACGTCAGGAGCGGTAATCTTGGGAGGCGAGGAGGAGGTTCTGATCTTAGAGGGTTCCTGGGAATGATCGGAAACAGTTAGGCGTGCCTGACAGAAATGGTCGTTCCTACGAATAAGTAGAGGCTCCTTGGTGTCGTTAACGAGTCTCAGTTTACCACCGACGGCTTGGATAATGTTAGGATGAGGCCAGGCGTGAGTGGGCTTGAGGTGGCTTGAGGAGACGGAGTCTATACGAGGTTCGACGGCAAGAGTAGAATCTTTAAGCAAATCGGGGGCGGAGGCGTCAACTTCAAGAAATTTCCCTGGCCAAACGGTTGTGTTTACGATAGGAGCATGGAGGAGCTGGCAGGCTCTGACGGCGTGATGGGCTTGAGGGGTATTTGAATATTCATAAGACGGTTCATCAGTCCCAGCGATAATGATCTCGTGTTTTGCAGGGCGGACAGCGATGATCGATGTGAAAAACTGTTTGATTCTATTGTATCTAATCCAGATCATAAGTTGCATCATTTTCTCCCTCCCAAGAACTATTGTCATTATAACCTCACAAGACAACGCCACTTCAGTCATGCAAATCCAGTCATGCGTACCAAGCGTTTTTCTAGCACATTTCTGCCATCTATGTGCAGGCGTTAGCAGTTTTTGTATAAAGTTTAATTCATTTAAAGTATAATTTTTATAAATTGGAATTCTAAAGTATAATTTTGTAGATTTTTTTTTTAAATTAGTACATTTTCATATTTTAACTTTTGTATCAATTGTATTTGTAAATTCATGCAATTCAGCCTTGGAGGGCTGCCATATGATTTGAATTAAATCGATCTATCTATCTATCTATTAGAAGCCATAAATGGGGTACCGGCGAGTATGTCCACATCGAGATCTTCGACATCGAGAGCTTCTGGTGTGAGGGATCTTCCATGGCGG